CCTTATCTGAAATTTTTTTCGAAGACCTGTCGCTTCTTGAAAGCAGGCTTTTGGAATGGGTGGAGTTCTAAAAGAACTAAATCATGCTTGACCAGAATGATTTTATGTTTCATAAACTAAAATTTATGGTTGTCTTACGAGTTCTCAAATTTTCGATATCTCTCCAAATCCAATTTTCAATTACGGTTAACTATGCTCATATTTGATAGAGCAATGCAAACTCTACAAGATGGCTACGAAACACCCGCACGATGTCTATTTTGGGGAAAAGGCAAAATTGATAAAATTGTCCGAAAAATCTAATGACTGCAAAAAAATCCTGGGTACCGTACGCAGAAATGATCAGGCTTATGCTCCTTTAAAAATTTCCAGACACACTTGCTATGATTTTATGGCTAAAAATCGAGAAAATAAAAATTGCTGCTTTCATCAAGGTAAGTTGTTGGGTGCTCCCACCAAGGTAATTTTATGCAGCAAACCTTTGAAAATACAGCCATAAATTTTATCTAGCATAAAAAGTTTTTTGTATGTTTAGTGTATTCTTGTTTCTCAATAGCTACAGAAAAATAAGTAAGTGCCATAATATCTAGTGTGGAATACATGCGGCAAGTGTACTGGTCCCTGAAATGTTCAAAGTGGAGGTCCAATTTATCGCGCAACTTCAAAATTTCAAAATTTGGCTCCTTAAGTGCGGGTGTAACAAACTTTGTGCAAGTGTCTACAGACCATTTTCTGAAGCATCCATTGCTCCATCAAAAGTAACTTAATTTCAAAAAACTTATGGGGCTATTAGTTCCCTTTCAAGGAGTTATGGGATTACCGAATTGTTTCCTTTTGAAAACCTTTTACATGAAGAGAGAAACGTCTTAACCGAACCATTACTACAAACTTTTTTCCCCTTACAGATAACCATGGAATAATATTTTCTTTTTCACATGGTGACATCATATAATTAAGTTATGTGCAAATTTCAGCTGCAGATTCAGTTCCACAAGTAATTTATTTAGTCGACAAAGCAGGTGTCTAGCAATGCTAAGAGTATCTGTTGGACGAAACGAAGTAGGAGGGTTGTGCACCGGGCTTTGCAAACTTCAAGTGCCTGGATTTTTGACGTAGCATCAAAGTGCACTCTTCTACAAAGTTATCCTTCGAACTCGGTTCGATAACGTATGTACCACCCAGAGAAAAATCGCTTTTGGACAATCTAACTTGAGTCTTTGCTTGATTTGCAAACCCCTTTGTCATTTGGGCTCAGGATAAAAATCGATCTAGAACATATTTCTCATTCAGGGATTATCGAGATCTGATTCAATCTATTAGATTGACGTTCAAACAATGCAAGTTTTTATATAACTTTTGTCTTTTTGGGCGTAGCGCATGCATTTTCTGGCCATATATAAATCATGATGTAACTGCAAATGCGGACATTTTGCCAAACTTTGCCATCTTGTGTAGGGGTACGATAGGTTTACGGTACAATGCGAAAATTTTTAGATAGCGACGGATTTTGCTGGAACTTGGCGTATGAGGGTTATTCGACATGCTGATCACAAAAATGAGACCCTGCAGGAAAAGGTCTCTTTCGTAAGGTCAAAAATTGAATGTTATCTCAGCGACAAAACGAATATTTTATTCGTGTCGCCGTACTGGGTCACCTTATTTTGCAACGTTTAGCTAATTCTGAGGTTTCGTAGCTTAATTATTGACAGATTGCCATCAAAACTTGACGCTTTTGATTTGTTCTACCTCTCATAGGCGCCTTATCATAGTTTGTCTTCAAATTTCACTCCTTTTCTACTGATCCTAATGTGTCAACTTCTAGCTAGGCGCTGCCTATGATTCTTTTATGATATGTTTGATTCAGGTGTTTTTCAAAAAACCGTGAAACCTCGATTTTCAGCAGTTTTCGAAAAATGCTCAAATTTTTCCTATTACGTTACCAAAAATCAAACTGTTTACGCAGGCTTGCAGCTTACTCACACTCTACATGATGCAAAAAAATGAGAGTGCTACATTTAGTAAGAAGAAAGTCATGGGAAAAGTTGCAAAACTTATGTGCCAGCCTAATATTTTTTGCAATGTCCTTACGAAACTGTTTTTCGTTAAATTAAAAATTATTTGGCTTCTAACAAAGATATGGCTCTATCACGTTCCTTTGGTAAATTTCTAAGTAAGAAAATGGAATTTTCTGAGGTCACAAAACCTGTCTAGCATAGTGGCCCACCATCAGTTTGCATACCTGAAACAAATTTTCAAGTTTGTCTTAATCTGAGCAAACCTAATAATCTATTTGACATGCACAAATAAGAAGATAACTGTAACTTTTAAAATAAACACCATAAATTAGTTCGTAAAGTATGCAAGAAGTAATTTGCTAACTCATTCTCCTTCCGAATATCTTGTATTCACTTTTATTACCTCTTTCCTCCTATATTTAATGTATTATGAACTTACGGTGTCTTTAATTATTACTGCACTAGTTCATCAACTTCACGAAGTTTGAACAACTCCCTACCTTAGTCCGAAAAAGGGAAAGGGACAGAACATTCTCAAAAAGAAACTCCCTTTCTGCTGATCCTCCATTGCGCTTATGATCCCTTCATGCCTTTCAAGGCTTTCTCATCCCTCCCTCACTCTAATGAATAAATTTGCTCACACACTTGACCGGAAGTTTCGCTGGGTATACCCATGGAACAAAATTCTTGCTCGTTGAAAAGTGCTGCAGAGGTTTTCCCAGCAGTCTAGCTTCCAAATTCCTGCGTTTCTGTGTTAGTAAAAAAAATCCTGCGAAACCACTGCAAATCTTTCTTGTTCTGCGAGAGCTCAAGCGCACACACATACAACCTGGAACATCTGCAGGGGTTTCACCAAATGTGCAGAAGTTTGATTGAAATAGTAAATATCATCTCCTAATCCCGGAAGAGGAAGTGGCGGATAATCCGAGGATGACGGATTAGCTGCTGAGTATCATGTGTAGGTCAAACCTTGAAAATAGCAACTTTTGCGTATAACACTAATGGGTCTGTCCTTTTTTTTAGCTCTTTTCGATAGAAAGACGGTAAACGAAAAGCTATAAAAATACCACGTATTATAGCGTCAATGCATTTGTATGGCATTCACATTCACCTTTTTCGTTGCTAAACAACGAATGTGGAAATGTCTTTGTTTATTATTATAGAAGATGTTGATCCTCTTGTTGTAATGCTTAGTAGCAAACCAGAGCGCTCGCGTAAGTCACCTCCCTACTCCGATAATTACTTGCTGAAGTATTTGCTTTTAATTTCCGCAATGACTTTTACTTCGGAAGTTTTTGCTTTGCAAATCGGGATGACAATCAAAATTCCGGGGCAGTTTGCAGAGGTTAAAACATTACTTTGAGTATTGTTAATAATAAAAGTGAAATTGTATGCGATACATTTTCACCCCGTTTCGTTCCTTCCCCGTAGACGGAGTTTAACTTGATTACTAGGTCTTCCCCGGAACTTCTCAGTAAGGAAGGAAGATACAGCATCAAGTAAAAGGGTTTGGTACTTAGAAAATTTCTTCTTATATCATGGTTAATTACAACACTTAAGTTAAATTTATGTAAAATTTGTACAAAAATGTAAGGTTCGTATACAAATGTATAATTTGAAAATGAAAAAAAATAAAATAATGGGTCTAATAACAAATAATGGGTCTCAAAATCTTGCGCTCTCCCTTTTCATGTCAATGAAGTAAGCGCTTCAGACTGGGGAATTTCATATGCTAAGCAAATTCACTTTGTTCAACTTTTTCTCAAATAGTAGAATTTTAGAATGGTTCTTCCAAAAATTTTGTGAGAATTGGTCAAAATATCATAAACATGACATTATATGAGACTATTCTGGAACAAAGCATGTTTTTTATTTGGCTTTGCTGATGCTGACAGTCGGATGTCTATGTCATCATGATAGGGTTTCGGTATTTGTTTTGTCTTGTGTTCCATTTACATAAATCTCTCCTTCCTTCTGTGACTGAGGATTCGCTGCTCTTTTGTCTTTTCCTTTGTGTTTCCAGGTTTCTGTTGGATTTCGGTTTTTAATGGGTGCACCATGATTGTAGACATAAAATAGAAAATATATGAAATTTTTGAAGGAGTCTTCGCATTTTTTTAAGTCCTGGTTAGTGGTTTGATTCGCCAAATAGTAAGAATTTTGTGGTCGTCTGTTTTAAAAAATTGTTGAATTGTATTGTGAGAGTTCCCATCAGTACCAAGCACTTCTCAGGCATAGTTTTGAATTTTGTGTCTTACTTTCACAAAAAGATTGTGATTTTTGGATGGAAAAGTACATGATTGGTTTTCTGCGATAGTGCAGACTATGGAAGATCCTATTTTCTTGCGCTATACTCAAAAACAAGTATATTTTCCGGTTTGACAATTTTAATCTTGAAAAATTTTTGAAAAAGTTGGGTCTGGAAATAAGATCAAGATTCTGCGGAAGTTCTGCACATCTCGGAAGTTCCGACTAGTAGTTGAAGTGTCTTTCAAGTAGCGAAAATTCAAAATCATTGTGATCTACATACTGGCTCAAGAGTAGCTTTGACAGGGAAACTAAATGGTCAAAATTCTGCGCAAGTTCCACAGTGTACGGAAGTACCGACCGGGATCTGAATGCTATCAGATATTAGATATATTCAATAGTTTCCTGATCCCCTTTCCTAAAACTAAAAGTTTGCGAAATCTAAGCAGGTCATGAAGTTCCTATCATCTCGTTTGCTGTGCGCTGTACTTTTTTACAAGACCTCTTTGATTTTGCACCTCTAGTCATAAAAAAACTTTTGGTTGGGGTTCTAAGGTAAAGTGGGCGCAGTGTGCGCCAACTTTTGTATCCACGCTAGGGTGCACGTTGAGAAACAGTTGATCATCGTCTCCTTGTTCTTTTTTTGTACGCAAATGGTTTACCTCTCATTTTCGTTCTTTTTTCGCGCTTTGGAAGACTACCGAAAGCTACCGTACCCAAAGCTTACTGTGCATTTACAGAAATGTGCCAACGATCCGTCGAATACAACAGCAACCGATGTGACGCCTACGCAGCTACGGTAGCAGAGCCCGAAATACGACGGAGCCATAGGTTTGTTACGTTGTAATTATTTGCAATGAAAATTAAATGAAAAGCAAGCAAAATGGCGATTTTTCATGGTTGTGACGCTCCCATAAAACTTCCCGCAATTGTAGGCTTGCTAGATATTCAAAGAAACGTCTAGAACTTCTATGCATTCAATTAGTGAAACGGGAAGTTGCAATGAAAAACAGAGTCACTATTTGTCGAAGACAAAGAGCGCAAAACAAAAACTGAATGCCTTCGAGACATTAAAGGAAATGGAGTGCATGAGAAACACGGATTTTATTCTGCTTTAGATCCTAGTAGCGATCGCTCCTTCTGGTCACTTGCTTTTTTCAAAAATCAATATCACGTGTTATTTTTTGTATTACTATAATTTGTTGCTCTTTGTTTTTTAAGTTCACTGCTGAATTCGCAAATCCCAAGGAATAATGAATCTAATACACAAAGACTCGTAAGCTGCATTCAAAAATTGTCAAGTAGCGGGAAACCGAGCGGGTCCCGAAGCGAACACGCTTTCTAGCACTTGTGATTTGTGATTACTGCTTCAATAGTAGGTAATAAAAGTAATACTTACAATTAAAAAATAAGAAAAAATAATTATTATTAATAAGTGTTAGAAAAACATTTACAACTGAAAAATAAGACATTGACGAATTTTTGCTGAATTTGAAAAAATTTATTGACGATAATTTTACAATGATAATCAAAATTCCACGGAATTCTGACAGAATTCTTACGGAGTTTCCCCAGCAGTGATTCACAAAATTTTCTTTGATTTCCTGTTTCACGCAGTGTTAATAAAACGGATGAGATTTTCTCGTCGTTAGAGATAAGCCACTTCGATGTTGGTATTCTTGAACAATCTTATTGTTAGTGGTAATTTTTGCTTCCAGAAGATCTTTGGTTATAAAATCTGCTGATATCATTCCATTAATTATAAACTGACGATAATTCATTTCGCGGAATTTTGACAGAATTTTTACGGAAGTTCCAAACGCCAAACAAATGAGAAAATCACTGAAATTTCTGGTCTCGCGTAAGGCTGATTAGGGTGGGCCATTAACAATTTGGATCATTTTTATATGATTAGGTTTTTGCATATCAATATCTTAGTAGGAATTTCGTATTTATTTATTAGATCATTCCGGCAGTAATGCTGCATTTCTTAAATGAGCGCACCATTTCGTGGAACAAAGATTTTTGAGAGATTCTGGTAGCTTCCGATCACCTTCTTTCTGATGGTTCTCAATTCTTTGCAGCATAGTCAAAGCTCTCGGAAATTTCTGAAATCTGAAATCCATACCTTTTGCCATGGTTACGTTTCGCAATTTTCAAAATTTTCATAGTTACTTCCGAAGAAGTGCAAGTAGTTTATGTGTAGAGCTATGCCTACAGGGCACAGAACTATTTTTTTGTTTTTCCTTAGCTTGCTTCTTAAGATTTCAAAATCATTTTTTATTGATGTTATCAGTTTCCCTATTTGGCCAAACTCAAACCTCATAGAACGACAACTGGCAAGAAACTCGGGTGTCATTCGATGCACGTTTTTTCTCCTCTTTCCACCAATTGTTTTTTTGTTTCCGATTTGTAGTCTCCGGGGATTGAATCACCAAAATTTATGTTATCGAAGAGCCCTAGCCTGAATTTTTGAAAGTTACTATTTTGAAGCGGTAAATGCTCATTTGTTTTAAAAGTTAGTGTTAAACCATAATTCATTTTCGGAAGTTTCGGATTCTGAAAATCTATCGGTGTTGTTGCGTTTATGTTTGAGATATATAGGCCTAAAATTCAAATCAAAAATTATCAAAGTTATTGCTAAAATTTAGTGGTTTTAAAGAAAGATCTATGAAAAAATTGTAGCGGATTTTCGAAAAAAGGAAAAATTGTAATGTTTTCTAAGGTATACTCTATCCGTCTTTTACATGTACTCCTTCGGAGGGTTATAAGAAATTTGGAAAAATTTTGACCATTTTCGAAAGCATGGATCGCAGATTTTGGTAATTTTTTCGAAGAATCATTTAGATATTGTGCAATAATCTTATAATCACTAGAAAAAGGAGAATTGCCGCACGATTGCTCCCAAGATTTCTTAGAATCTAGGTTTTACGAGATTTGGTGTTCATTTAAAAAAAATTGACATTACTTTCTGAACGACCTAATATTTGCAAGTACGTACATATGACGTAAGCTCTGTGTATTTTTTTATCGATCAATTTTTATTATTTATAATCTTCGTAGTCGCGGGTTATATACTAAAAATATGATATTCAAGCTCGAAACTTCCTATCTCAAAACTTTACAGGAATTAAAAATGTGTTAATTTTGTACAAACCACTGGTTTTTGCTATATCATCCACTCTATTATTTTTGCATTTATAAACGACAAAAATTCCCGTTTCTCACTCATTTTATTAAAGGACATGATCCAGTTCATGGCTGTTTTCCCTTTATTTCTGCTGAGTCTTGCTCTTTCTTTTAAAGGCAGCGTCCAGGCAGATCTGGACCTGTGGGAATTATACGTGGAAAGTATTTTTGGGGCACTAACTAAGGCACTGCCCAAGCGGCAGCTCAGGTAGTGCTGTAATGGCTGAGATATTCCCCTCGAAACTGGCCCCCGCGAACGTATTTGCATGTATTCATGGCAGTTTCGCGCCAGGATCCACGCTTTGCGCCATGAATCCATGCGAAACACGATCGCGGGGTCCAGTTTCGAGAGGAATATCTCAGCCATTACAGCACTACCTGAGCTGCCGCTTGGGCAGTGGCTTAGTTAGGGCCCCAAAAGTACTTTCCACGTAAAAGCCCCATAAATCCAGATCTGCTGGACGTTGCCTTTAATATACAACTACTAATAAGGCAGTGTTGGGCTGCTGGTGTCAATCCACGCCCTATTTGGCGCTGCTACGGTGCTGGCACGGCTTCGGCACGGAGTGATGATAGCAAAAGTCTCACAAGCCATTCTTAAATCCAAGGCCAATCCAGGATAAAATACCTCGGCTTCGCCATTTTCCAAAACTAATCGAAAACTATAGTATATGTCTGAATGAACAGAGGACATATCGACGTAAATAGCAGTCTTATTTTCACAATTATTGCTACCCTTTTTCTGGTCTCTGTCTTATGGAAAATATTTTCAAATGTTTAGTAAACTAATTAATTAAACTCAAAGTCTGCTGCTTACCCCAACTTGATCAAGGGGAATTTACGATTTTCCATAACGAGTGTTCAAGGAACTTCTAATATCATGCTTCTTCCCACTTTCTTAGAGCTGTACAAATGTGGAATTGGCAGCTAAAACTTGCTAGATGCAATTGGATTTGAGAAAATGCTTTTCTAAATTATGTTAGAGAAATCAAAATGACAATCTATTCTGCTCACGAAATATCATTTTTAAAGCCCAACGCTAATACACCTTTTCAAGAATGAAGAGTGTGAGTTGTTTCCAGAAGTTTTTGAAATATTGGCTGCATTGAACCCTTTTTGGTGTGAAACCGCGTGCAAAAAAACAATTTTTGGATTCTACTAGTTTTTCCCGACAGGAAAACTAATGACTGAGCTATAAATTGTCATTTCTGAAAGGATAATCAAAACTAATACAGGGTGCCCCAAAAAATGTACCTACTGTTTGATTGTAATCAACTCTCTTGTAGTGAAGTGTTTTGAGAAGTTTTAGCTACTCTTGCAGAGCGAGGTTAAACTTAGACTTAATGCATGGAACGAATCATCTATCGCTCGTCATTACTGTAGGATTACGGTACAAACTTCTACAAGGATTTTAGACCATTGGAGGCCATATTCTGCCTCGGAACAAAACCAAACAAGCCAAAAGCTCTTGTACTACCGTAATGGGAGCCGCTGATTTCGAAATTGAAATTCTCCCTTTACTGTGATGCTTCTTTCCTAAGTTATCGCCGGTAAATCGTGATAAATCAATTCCTTGCATTTGTCAGAAATGTAATTACACCGTCAATAAAGCTGAAAACACTCGTAAAAAGTTGTTAAGTGGAATCAGCATGCCGAAAACCCTAGTAAATGATTTTCCAGATTTTTTGAAGAAAGTTTTGTTAGGTGGTATACTCACAATGGTTTCATATGCTGGAAGTTCTTACCGTAATCCTACAGTAACGAAGAGAGATCGATGATTGGCTCCATACTGTAAGTCTAAGTTTGACCTCGCTTTACAAAATAGTTCCTAAAGCTTCTCGAAAACTTTATTACAAGAGAGTTTTTAACAATCAAACAGTAGGTACATTTTTTTGGGACACCCTGTAGCAGCATAGAGAAAAGATTTGTTTCTTGAAAAACTTATCGAGATGTTATGAATTCCTTTCTAACGTCGTTCGAAGCATGTTCCCCATACGCAGCTGGGTTAATATGCCCCTCTCCCTGTAGCTGTTCAAGTGATAATAACGTACGTGGATATATTTGCAAAATCAGTTTCGAACAGTTCAGTTGTCATCTACATAATTTCCGTCGTATTCTGATAATTTGAATTGTCTAGCAGTATATAAAAATACTCTGTTTCACTCTGTACAATCGTCGCTCTTATTTAATATTGTGACATTTGTTTTGTACAAAGTAAAACATGCACTTTAAAACTACAGCTAAATTGTTTGTGATGATGTGAATTTTTCGAAAACATCCCCTCAATTGTGTTTCGAGTTTGAAGCCAATCTCAGAGAAATGAAAAATTTCGTGGCAAACCTAAGGGCACGTCCTACCGTAAGGCTCCTTCCAATCAGCAGGCAGAACTGAGTAGTTTTTTACTTGTAAGTAAACAAAATCTCGTAAGTTATATGAGTATCATGTCAAACGTTTGTTTGTTCAATCTGCTTGATTTCCATATGCTCAGCGTCTATCTCAGAAAGAGCTAGAACCAATCAACAGAAAATTCAAAAAAAATCAGCCTAAAGCTGTACCGCACGTTTCTTTTTTGAATTTTAAGGTCATAAGCAGGGTTTGGCACGAGGTGATTTTGGGAAATGCAAAAAAGAAGTCCCCTTGGT